ACGATACAAGTCGTTAACAGCCATGTTTAGATGGCTCCTGTGACTGTATCCCCGAACCTAAGGTCACCAAGAATCCTGCACATCGGATGTCCTATTACAGTAAATAAAAATGATATGGACTTCTCAGCCTGGCCCGAGTCCTGCTTTGTTTCCACTTCCTCCCACAGCCACCGGAGGGGTCACTGCAACCTCACTGTTGGCAATCGGGGTTAGTAGCACAGGGCCACTGCGGAAATGAACTGGGGGGAGGGCGAGGCCATATCTGCTCCAACACGCTCTCGATAGGTCCTTGTGGTGAGGGTTTCCAAGAACCAGCGGAGCAGTTAAAGCAGCTGAGCAACACTTACGAGAAACGCGCCCTGCCCCACCCCACCCCCACCCCTTGGCCCCTTTCTCCCCTACTTTGCGGTCTCCAGCCCTTCCTCCCTTCCAGGACACACAGGTGCTGGGTATGTCTATTTCCACAGAGCGGGGGTTCCTTCCTCAGTTCTGCTCGGACCTCCACGAACTGGAGCCTAAAGGGGCCCTGAGATGACCCATCTCTCAAATGCCTAGTTGTCGGCAACCATGATGCAGGTTGTTCGATCCTCACCACCAAGAGGGAAATGGTGTCCAGCTGACAAAGCAGGAAAAGGCAAGGATAATCTGCATCCATATTCCAAGACTCTCGACTTGCCAGTTCTTCAGCATGTCAATAAATGTTTTGTTTTGTTTTTTGGAAACAATTATCATGTAGCCCAGGCTGGTCTTGGATAAACTGAAGATGACCCTGAATTCCTGTCTTTCTCCCTTCACCTCCCAAATGCTGGGCATACCCAGCTCACACACCAAGAAATAATATTCTAAACTGAGCAGTGGTGGCACATGACTTTAATCCCCACATTCAAGAGGCCGAAGCAGATGGATCCCTGTGAGTTCAAGGCCAGCCTGATCTACAGAGTGAGTTCCAGAACAGTCAGAGCTACATAGAGAAACCCTGTCTGGAAAAACAAAAACAAACAAAAATTACTATATTATTATTATTATTATTATTATTATTATTATTATTATTACTATTATTATTATTAATGGGGGCGCATGCCATGGTCCACATGGGGAGGTCTAAGGAAATTTAGAGCACTCTGTTCTCTCCTTCCACAGGTGCTCCTTGGGTCCTAGTGGTTGAACTCAGATCATCGGATTTGGTGGTAAGAGCCTTTACTGACCCACAAGCCCTCAAAATACTATTATTCTTCACTACACTTTCAAATGTAAAAATCCCTGAGCCAGGCACTGGAGCACTGTAATCCCAGTACCAGGAGGGGAGAGCAAGGTCATGAGTTCAAGGTCACCCTGTGCTACTTTTCAAGTCAGAGATCAGTCAACCCTGTCTCATTAGATCAATATTAAGTAAGGGAGGCAGGTTATCATTGGGAGTGAGAGGAAAAGAGAGAGGAATGGGGGTAACATGAGGGAAATACATTAGATAACAAGTATGAAGATGTCAAATGGGAGTCTTTGGCTCAGGGGCTAAGAGCATTCATTGGCTGCTCTTTCTGAAGACCTGGGTTCAATTCCCAGAACTCACATGGCAGCTCCCAGCTGTCTGTATCTCCAGTCTCAGGGGATCCTATGTCCTCTTCTGGCACCAGTCACATACATGGTACACAGACATAGGCAGGTAAAATCCCCATACACATGTAAAGTGGGGGAAATATGTAATGTCAACATAGAGCCTACCCAAAGCAGACTTAGAGTTTATCAAAATACTTTAAGGGCAGTGAAATGACTCAAAAACCTAGGGTACACATGGCCAGGCCCGACAGTATGATAACTTGAGTTTGTTCCTGGGATCCACATGATGGAGGGGACAGAACAAACTCTGGCCAGTTGTCATCTGACCTCCACATGTTACCATGGCATCAGATTCCAGATATTGCTACATGCTGAGACCCTGTCTCAAAAAAAAAAAAAAATAATAATAAAATAAACCAGTGAAACACTGCTTCCCTTTGAAGTCGTGGTATTCACCCCCATCTCTTGCCTCCCATACAGTAAGCACAGCTATGTCTATAATGTCACCAACATGTGCTACACTTAGAGCAAACCAACAGTGACATAAACACCCTTGGTCTCCACCTCTCGGAGAGGAAGCAATATCACAATGGCTAAGCCTATCCCTTTCTCCAGGTTACAACCCACTTCTTACTCCAACAAAGAGACAACCACAATCCTGACACCTCCACTCTACCTCAGGACCTGCCTGGAACTTGCAGGAGGGATTTGCACGTGCATACACCTGATAATACCTATCCATTCTTTCTAATAACCCAATCAAGAACAGGCCCTTCTACTCGACGGCCCCTCATTGGTCCCAATAACATGTCCAGGTCATAGAGAATGAGGGGTCATGCTAGAATCTGAACCCAAGGCTGATTCCTTAGCAGATGTCCTAAACTGCCTTGACAAGGAGACCAGCTAGGACCTTTCACCTTCTCAAGGAGATCTTAGTCTCAGAAGGACACACCTGCAGTGCCTGGGTTCAAGTCTAGTCTGGAATGCATGAAATGCTGTTTTGTTTGTTTGTTTGTTTTAAATGAAGCAGGGTATGGTGGCACATACTTTTATGTTTAGCCTTCTGGGAGGCAGAGGCAGGTGGATCTCATTGAGTTTGAGACCAGCCTGGTTTACATAAAGAGGTGAAGGCCCGCAGGGCTGTGGTGGTGCATGCCTTTAATCCTAGCACTTGGGAGGCAGAAGCAGGTGGATCTCTGTGAGTTCGAAGCCAGCCTGATCTACAGAGTAAGTTCCAGGACAGGCTCCAAAGCAATAAAGAGAAACCCTGTCTTCAAAAACAAAGCAAACAAACAAAAAAAGAGAAAAGAATGCACTTGTTTTCTTTTCTTCAGAAACACTGGCTCTCAACAGCTGAGCAAAGGGCCCCCAACTCATTTCAAGGGCAAGAAGAGTAAGGCTCTGCCAGATTTTACTAGAAATTTCTAGCAACTTTAAATTGTTCACTTGCAACTTTACTGCAAAGGATGCCACAGTGCCTAGACTACAGGAGCTGGCCTCACAGTATGTTTACAGGAAGGAGGAATGAAGGGGTGGGGAAAAGGGGAACTTCAGCAAACCAGCCCCCAAGAACTGAGAAATCCTTCCTTCCTTTCTGTAGCCACATGGGAGGCTGTGTTGGGTTGGGGACCTAGTCAATGAAGAGAGGACCCTGTGGCCCGGATTTTCCACTAAACAAAAATGCATGGGCCCAAGTTCCCAAGAGATTATGGATACACAAAGGGGTCAAGATGACCCACAGCCAGGCAGGAATGTTAGAATTGTTACTAAGGCACATAAAGAAAACAAGAAAGCAATGTTTACACCTGGGTGTGGTGATGGCAAGTCTGTGATTTGGTCCTAGATGTGGGAAGTTCAAAACTATCCTGGGCTATTTAAGCAGTTTGAGGTCAGCCTAGGCTACACCACACCTGGTCCCCCAAAAGAAAACATTTATTAACATGTAGTAAATGAATCAACAGCGGTTCAAATATTAGGACACACTCAGGCCACACATGAGGCAAATTGGGGGTCCCAGCCTAACACACAAAACAGGCCTAACAAAACCAAGGCCTGAAGATGACTGGGGGTAACATTTCACTCAGTCCCAGCAAAAGCTGACAGTAGGCTGCAGGGAGAACCCTACAGCCAGTCAGGTATTTCTACACGGCCAATGTCTAACCCTCTCACTAAAGGTGAAGGGACCTGAACCAAGCTCTAATTGAGCACCGTGGCCAGAATTTGTGATCCTGATACTCAAGAAGCCAAGGCAGAAGGATAGATGGCTGTGAGTTCAAGGCCTGCCTAGGCTACAAAGTCAGATCCTAGAATAATCACTTCACATTTCTTAAAGATGTATTTTCTCTTTTCTGTATGAATGCTGGTCTGCACACTACGTGAGCATCAGATCCCCTAGAACTGGAATTATGGGTGCTGGGAACCAATCCTAGGTCCCCAGCAAGAACAAGTATTTTCTTTTTACTGGGTGTTTTTTCTGCATGTATGTGCACATGCTTTTGCACATACAGTGCCCTCAGAGGCCAGAAGAGGGCACTGAACCCTCTGGAACTGGAGTTACAGGGGGTTGTGAGCCACCTTGTGGGTGCCCAAACTTGAACCATGGTCCTCTGGAAGAACTCTTAACTGACCCATCTCTCCACCTCCAAGCCGTAGTAGTGGAACCCTGTAGTCCAGGCTGGCCTTAAACTCATAAGGATCCACTTGTCTACCAGTGATTAGACAAGGTTTCATGTATTCTGATTCATGCTTTCAATTTCCAAACGCTGGGGTTTTATAGGTTTACACCAACACATCTGCTATTCAGCATAGTTTGAGATCTGTCCTGTTAGTCTTGAACTTAGAAACCTAAATGATTCTACTAGGTATATGGATGTTAATCACCTCTAACTTTAATCCCCACACATGGAAGGCAGAGCCAGGATAATCCAGGAGCTCCAGGGCAGCCTGAGCTGTATGTAGAGAGCACACTCCAGGGCAGGACACATTTTTTTCTCAAACAATACAAAAACACACACAAAAAAAACATCAAAACCAATCCAAAAGTACTGCCTGTAATTAGGCCTGTAATCCTAGAATTTGATAGTAGTAACATAATGTTCAACGCCAGCCCCAATTACACACCATGTAGGGCAAAATTCTTCCCCGCCAAGTCTTGTTTAACATGCCTGACGCTGCTACAATTTGGCTGGCTGCCTCCTGCTTTAGAATGATGGCAACCCCCAAACTTCTTCAGAAAGGGAATTGGTCTTGGTTTAAGGGATGTTATCTTAGTGGAGATTGTCTCACAGGTAAGGAAGGGGCCTGCACCCCATTCTGACACTAGGTTGCCCAGAAGGCCCTGCACTTCTGTGCCCTACCAGGAAACTTGACTCCAGTCTCAAACTGCCTTTTCTACCTGGCTCTAGACCAAGTATACATCTTTGTATGAATGAATGGAAAAACCAGAGTTAAGACAAAAGGTTTTTATTCAAAAAATGCCAAGTATAAAAAAAAAAAAATAAGATCTCTTATTCCCCTGTACAGTATTTCACTCAGATAAAACCAGCAGGCTACATGCTGCTCAAACCAAGCTCAGCACCCCAAGAGGATCCGAAGGCACACCATGCTGGAACTGCCTGTCTTATGTACAGTCAGCAACGCCCCTTCCCAGACAGCCCAAACCCACTCTAGTAAGCAGGCAAGGGGCCCCCACAGAAGGTAGCACAGCAGCTGTCCCAGAGTCCCTTCACCTCAGCAAGCATAGCAGCCCTCCCCAAAAGGTCCCAAAGTTAGGATGGGAAAAAAAAAAAAAAAAAAAAAAAAAAAAAAAAAAAGAACATGACAATAAAATCCTACAGCAACAGCCAGTGGAAGCTTGGAACAGGAAAGCAACCAAATAAATAAATAAATAAATACATTAACATTGACTTCCAGGCTATAACGTGCCACCTTTCAAAAACAAAAAAACACCCCAACACATAAAATATAACTTAAAGGCATTTTTTTTCTTTAAATTGTATCCACTACAATCCTTTTTGCAGGCTACCATGCCGACTGTACACATTTACAGCTTGTCTGGTTGTTGCATTGGTTGTGCATTCTGTGTGAGGTCTTGGCTTTGAAACAGTTAAGTAGAAACCAAAAAGGAAGACCAGTTTTACTAAAGGAGGTGGAAAAAGGGCAGGTGGCTCAGCAGTTGGCCCTGTAGCCTCTTCCGATGGCACCTTTCAGATGGCACCTTTCACGGTTAGTGGGGGGATGGGAACAGGGCAAAGAGTAGGGAACCAAACCCAGGCAGACTTTGAGAAGCAGCAGGTAAGAGGCAAGTTCAAGTATTTCTCCCAGCACGGCCGCCGGAGTCCCCACAGAAGGCACTCAGGAGTTTGGAAGAGGTGACAGGGACTTAAATATGGTACTAGTTTTTTTTTTTTTTTTAATCCCACCCCCAACATGTTTGTCCCCCTACCCTAGCCCATCTTGGTGACCTGAAGTCTCTGTGGCGACTATAAAGTTCCATGGCAGGGTTCTGGCCCACTCCCACCCCAGGATTCTGGGGAGCCCAGCAAAACTAGACACTGAAAGCATCTGGGGGAGGAGGCGGGGCAGGACACAGGGGCCTGGGAAAGCAGAGTCTCTCTCCCCTGTGGGAGGCTGCTCCAGGAACCTGGAGTCTGGAATGAGTTGTCACTGCTGTTCCTGCATGAAGGAAGGTCCTGCTGGAAGCTGGAGACAGCTCTCCCTAGCTGGAGAGACTGGCAGAAAGAAAGGCTGCTACTTGCTGGGTGCCGGTGATAGGCTACGCAGATGAATCTCAGCCGTTGCCTGGGGTAGGAGAACATCTTGCATCCATGGATGGTTCTGGATTTCTTCGAAAGATGGCCGATCTGATGGTCTCAGGGCCAGACACCATCTAATGAGATGCTGGCATTCTGCAGAAGGATAGAGGTTAAGAGATGACTCAACTTGTTTTTGTGATGCGAACGCCTTCCACAAGGCCCACAAGTCTGGGGTTTTTAAAGAGGGTGTACTCTATTCAGAACTCTGCTGGGCTCTCAGTGGGAAAGCATGAATACTGAAAGTCTCCCTAAGCTCTCAGTTAAAAAGTGGCTCCCCTTTTAAAACCTGTGGTTTCAAACTTCAAACAGCCCGGGCCTTTCCCACGACACCCACTCACCAGAAATAGGAAGGATGACAAGGGTTTTTGATGAGCCATCACTGAGCAAGATGAGGTGATTCAATTCATCTACCAACTTACAAACACTGACACCACTCAGGATGAGGTCACCAGGACCACAATATTTACAGAGCTACTGCCTTAAGGTGAGATAGCTTAAACAGCCCATGCCTTTTTTAATACCGGTACTTAAACTTTACAGGGTCTAGTGGTTGGGGTGGGATGTATATAAATAAAGCCCGCTCAATTCCAAAATGACCAAAAAACAAAATCACACACATACAAAAATCCAGGATTCCAAGGCCATCAAGAACTGAGTGAAACCCTAAGCCATCCCAGCACTTGGGAGGCCAGGGACCCTACTTAGGGACCCCAGTCTCCCCAGAATAATAGAGTAAATAATGGCTAGGATATAACCCCCATCCTCTTTTACAAAGTACCAGGTTTTGTGATTCACTCTTGTAATTCCAGACTTAACAAGAGTAGAGATACATTCTCAAAACCAGCAGCCTTTCAAATGTAAACCCAGTGCCAACCAAAGGCCTTTGGGGAAGTTACCTGAAGAAACCCTTTGCCTGAAGAACACTTGACCCTTGATGATCTCTTCATCATGCTCAAATGGAATATCTCCACAGACCATATCATACAGCAGGATCCCCAGGGACCAGACTGCTGCCGACCTGCCATGGTATCGATGGTAGCGAATCCACTCTGGAGGACTGTACACCCTGGTTCCTGCCAGAGGGAATTGAAAGATGTTAGCAAAAGTAAACAAAGCAACTAGGCGAGTAAATTTAAATATTTTGGACACAGGTTTTCTGTGTTGTGCTGCAACTGGATCTATAAACCAGGCTGATGTCGAACTAGGAAATCAGTTCTGCCTTGAATGCTGGGTTAAAAAAAAGATGTGTGCCGCCACCACCCAGCTTAAAAACAAATTTCTTCTCCAGAACGGGTAAATATGGTGCCTCTCCACCAGTCTCAACCCTAAACCGAAATGAAATCCCTTACAAACTGCCCTAAAGACAGAACCACCGAAAAGCTAAATAGTCTGAGGCCCTAGGCAGTAGAACTCACAATGGGACACACAGCCTTGAACTATCCCGAGCCTGTCCAAGACCCTGCCAGACTACTCCCTTCTCATCTAGACCTCACTGGGTGAGGAACCAGTGAAGAACCCCTTCAGGAAGCTTTCCTCCAGGTTCTGCACAACAAGCAAAGCAGAATACCTAAACTTTTTCCTCCGCAGACAGGAAAGGCAGTTACAGGGCTGGTTTCAGACCACGTGATTCCTGTTTACAAACTTTGGATAGTAAAAAAAAAAGTGCTAACCTCATGGTGCTCAACAGGGGGCAGCAGAGACTTGCCCAGGGGGAGGAAAAAAAAAACACACACACAAGGGAGGACTCAGCCAGCCATTAACTGTTAAATACAAAAAAAAAAAAAGTGCAGCCCAACCCAGCGTCCTCCACAGGCAAAGAAATACAAACCACAAGGCAGTCACAAGTTTTGAAAGGCTGTAGTTTGTTAGGGTGAGCCACTCGGATCATAACCCACCCTTCTCGCTTTGATCTTCTATCCCTCCATTCCTTTTCTGAGAGAACGAGATCCAAGCCCCTCCCTATGATAGGTTTTCAGTCTCCCTGCGGGAGACACCCAACTAATTCTCAAACCAGCAACAGATCTTATTTCACAACATTCATCCCAGGCTTCGTCACCCCACAACACCCCCAAGTGTAGTGAAACCACGGCTTTTATTCCTTAACCCTCCAAAACAAAACAAAACAAAACCTCTGCAGTTTTAAGAACTACCTTAAAACTCCCCCACGAAAACAAAACTACAAAACCGGCATCTACATCTCCCGCCACCACCGGCTCCACATCTTCCTACTGGCGAGAAAAGTGGGTCAGACTTTAGAAATCTGGGCTAGAGCCGGTTGCCTACGACTTCTTATTCACCGGGAAAGAGGGAATTCACTAAATTCCAATTTAAAAAAAAAAAAAAACAAAACAAAAAATTACAACCACGCCAGAAATGTTGCAGGTTTGTTCAACCGGCTTGAAATCCCTGGCTGTAGTATGCCGGGAAGCTCGCCTCTGCCCCACCCCTGCCAGCACTGAGCCGGGCGGCCCAATGACCTTTACAAAGGGCCGGAGCCGAGGCCCGCGGCGGCTTTCAGGCCGGCACCTTAGGCAGCTTCCTCCCCGGGGCATGGCTCACCATCGAAGTCCGTGTAGACTGTGTCCTTGAGTAGCGCCCCCGACCCGAAGTCGATGAGTTTGAGCTCGCCGCGGTTGAGGTCGATCAGGATGTTCTCGTCCTTGATGTCGCGGTGAAGAACCCCGCAGCTGTGGCAATGCCGCACAGCCTCCAGCACCTGCCAGAAGAAGCTTCGAGCCAGCTCCTCCTGTAGGGCTCCCCGTTCGGTGATGAAGTCGAAGAGGTCTTGCACCGGCTCGGGCCTCTCCAGAATCAACACGAAACTGTCGGGCCTCTCGAACCAGTCCAGAAGTCTAATGACGCCCGAGAAGCCCGAGCTCACCTTCTTCAGCAAGACCACTTCCATGGGCACTCGGGTTCCATTGGGCTGCAAAGGTGAGGGCCAGGGTTAACGCGCCGGTTCCGGCACGCCCGTCGCCACCCACCCACCCAGACGGGGGGTCGCTGGCTCAGGCTCGCTCACCAGTTCTCCCCAGTCGGAAATCCGGTCCTTCTCCACGTGCTTGATGGCCACCTGGAAGACAACCCCGAGTCTCCATCAGATTCTGTCTCCTACTCAGATGAGCATCCCTCTGCGTGCCCTCCCCAAGGCGGGGTGCCCACTCACCGGCAAGTTGTCGGCGACACGGATGCCAGAGTAGACCGAGCCGAAGCCACCGCTGCCCAACAGCGGGCCCACCTGGTACTGCGACTCCAAGGGCTCCTTCTCTTTGCCTAGGGAGGAGGCACCGGGCACTAAGCGCGAGGCCCAGGCAGGGGTCCCAGGGTGCCCCCGCGACCCACCCGCGCGCCCGGGGCGGGGTGGGGACACTCACCCGGCGCCAGCTTGGTAGCGTGCAGGTCGTTGCAGGGCGCGGCGCGCAGGTGGGCCAGGGAGTTGATCTTGGACAGGAGCATCCCCACCTCCAGGGTGCCGGTGGTGCGGGGCCGGTGCTGGGACGAACAGCAGCGGCGACGGAGCGAGCTGGGGCTGCGCCGGCGGCCGGGGCTCAGACTGCGGGTGGCGTTGCGGCTCGGGCTGCGGCTGGCGCGCAAGGCCGAGGGCGAGTCAGAGGACGACTGAGGGCGCTGGCGGGGCTGGAGGCGGGCAGGCTCGCCGGCCGGGTCAGGCAGTGCGGGAAGCGGCGGGGCGAGTGGCGCCGCGGGACCCAGGGCTGCTGCCGTCTGCGACTGCTGCTGTGGCCGCTGCTGCTACTGCCGATCCCGCCGCCGGCACTGCCGACTCCCCTCCAGCCTCCTCCGCCACCGCGGCCGCTGCTGCAGACGCCCGGCTCGCCCCGCCGCCAGGAGTAAAGGGGCGGAGCGCGCCGCTGGGGAGGGCGCGCGCGGCGGGCGGGGACGGGGCGGGGCCTCTCCGGGAGGCCGAGGCGGGGAGCCGGGCTGGCGCGGTGGCGGAGGGCGGAGAGGGGGCGGGGAGGCGGCGGAAAGAGGGCCGCTCCCCTCCGCTCCGCCCCCTCGCGGCGTCGCCCCTTTCCCCGGCCCCACCCCGCGGGCGCGGCTTTAGCCAACCAGAAGCGAGCTGATCTGCATAGCGAGGCGGGCCCCGCCCCCGCCCCGCCCCGCGCCTCGCGGTCAGAATGGTCTCTAACGCCGCCACGACGTGGCGGGAAGGAAAAGGCGCCAAAACGGAGGGGGAGGGGCGCTGGGCGTGCGGGGAGGCGGGAGCTGGGTGGCGCGCGCGGCCGGGGAGGAAGGATGGGGAGGGGCGTATCGATTCAAACCCAAACAATAACAAAGCCATCAAAGGCCGCCCGAGGCCAGCTCCGCCGGCTCTCGGCTTCTCGGGAATTCTGAGTGTGTGTTGGGGGGGCTGAGGCCTGGAGCTGGAGCGTAGCGAGTTGTGAGACATGGAAGGGCGTTGGTGTGGCCGGTGTGGAGGGACCGCGTGTGTGTGGATGCCGATCAGGGTGGTCCTCTGGTGTGACTCAGCCCCGAGACCTCCAAGGCTGCCGGGGCGGGGTGACGATGCGCCGTGGGCTAGATCCTGGGGGTGGGGTGGGGTGGTGTTTTGGGGGGCGAAGGCTGTGCAAGACGTGAGTCACCGGCGTTTGCACACCGAGGGAGTGGAGGAGTCACAGTCAGGCCTGCGAGGAAAGTGGGGGCGAGCTTAACAGAGACCGAGAGACCTGGGCTACGAGGAGCTGGTGATAAAGAGTCTCAATTTAGAAATGCAAATATATATATAGTATTAGTAGGTCCTGATCCCTTCAGAAATTACCGGTGTCCGAGTGCCTGAGAGAGAAATCACGACACAAATGTGCTTTCTGGTGCCAGATGCTGCCTCAGCCCCTTCTGAGAGGGAGGGAGGAGGAAAATTCCTGATCGCGGCACGGGTGGGAGGGTGCCGCTCTGTTTAATCAGAGGTTGCTCGGGTAGTCACCCTCTCATCGGCTTGGTATTAGCAGTCAGGCGATACCAGCTATTATTGGCCCGACCCCAGCCTTGTCTCAAAGGAAAGTCCCCACATACACGTGGAAATAACACGGAAAGCCAGCCGATTCTGCTTTCCTCTTTTGTCCTTTTAAACTTCATGGAGAGTTGACGATGTGTGAAACGAGTAAACTCTCATTCTATGTAATCCATAAGTTGAATTCTCAGTAGCCAAAGCAACTGAAAGCTAACCCATTTTCGTTGTTTTTGTTTTTAAATCGGAGGGATTTAAAGGAGGAACGAGTCTGTTATAGATGCAGTTATTAACGCGTTTAAACGTTTACAAGTTTTCCGTGGTGCTTATAAAAGATGCTCAGAGACTCCATAACTTTTATGGTTGCCTGTTACAAGACATTACATATTTCCCTTTTGTTTGTGTTCTGTGGCCTAACTCATTCATTTTTGATGACGAAAGAAGAAAACCCCAGGGGAACAAGAATTACTTCCTTTTTTTGCAGATAGGAAAATGAAACGTAAGTAGGGATGACACAGGGTCATACAGCAGCTAACACAACAGCCAAGGGATGAAATGACCTGAATTCTCCTTGAGTATTCAGAGCTTTCCCTTTACTCGGTCTTAACCCCTATGACACTGGCATTGACCAGAACACCAGGAAAAACACAAGTATGGCTGGAGTGGTGCACACCTCTTCAATCCCAGCATTCTGGACCAGCCTAGCTACCCTAGAGAAACCTTGTGTCTAAATGTGTGCCTCCGGTCCTTTAATTTCCTCCACCAGGCCCTCAGCTCTGTCCAAACAGGACTGTTCCCACTTGTTTTCACTCCCCAAGCACATGCATATTCCAGACTTTGTGCCTCTGAAGACTCCAGTTAACCTGTCCTAGAAGTGCCCCGCCCTCTTCTAAAGGTGTGCGATGTTGGGAAATAAACCTGGGGTCTTACCTGTGCACCTTGCCACCAAGCTATACTCCACCCCTCTTTTTACCCAAAGCCATGTCTTTGCTGAACAAACTCCAAGAGTTTGTTCTCTGCACCTCCCACCCATCTGACAGTCATGTGGGGTCATTAAAAACGTCTGTCTGGGCTGGGCTGGGGATGCGGCTCAGCTGGCAAAGTGCTTGCTTGTGGGGCATACAGGAAACCCTGGATGTGTTCCCCATCACTGCATATATGGCACCATGCATGGAGCATGATCTCAGCCACACAAGAGGTAGAAACAGAAGGATAAAAGATTCAAAGTAGCCAGAAATATAGAAGATCCTGTCTTAAAACAATTAAAAACTTCCTGTTGTCTGTCCGTTTTTTTTTTTTTTTCCTATCATCTCTCCACTTGTTTACTTTTTTTTTTTTTTTTTTTTTTTTTTTTCCTGACAGACAGGATTTCTCTCTGTAGCCCTGGATTCCCTAGAACTTATTCTGTAGACCAGGCTGGACTCCAACTCACAGAGATCCACCTGCCTCTGCTTCCTGAGTGCTGGGATTAAAGTCATACATCTACCTCCTCCACCTGGGTCAAAAAAAAAAAAAAAAAAAAGATCCAGATGGTGGTAGCACAAGCCTTTAATCCCAGGCACCTGGCTTTTTTGTACCTCTGAATATACTCACTATGTATTCCATAGCCCAGGTATGTCTCAAACAATTCTTTTTTTTTTTTTTTTTTTTTTTCCTTGAGACAGGGTTTCTCTGTGGCTTTGGAAGTGTCCTGGAACTAGTTCTTGTAGACCAGGCTGGTCTCAAACTCACAGAGATCCACCTGCCTCTGCCTCCTAAGTGCTGGTATTAAAGATGTGCACCACCGATGACCGGCCTCAATTCTTTTCCTTCTTCCTTCCCAGATGACCTCCCTGACAAGCATGCATGCCATGCCCACCTTCCACCCAACAGTTACTAATAGATGAGAAAGAATATGACCCAAAGAACATGATTAAAATCAATTTATGAACCAGGTATAGTGGTTCATACATGCAAACTCAGCACTTGGGAGGCTGAGGCAGGAGATTGCCAAACTAAGCTGTGTAGTGAAGCCAGACTTATGGCTGAGTATGTAGCTCAATGATAAACATTCACCTAGCATTCTTGGAATTCATCCGCAAATAGGGCAAACAACAACAAAAACCAGATATGGTTAAGTGGGCTCAGGAAAAAATGAAGGTGAGAAAAAAATAAACTACAAGATTCAATTAGGCAGCTTTCCATTCTGAGAAATGGTACCTGGTGGCTATGAAAATGACTGTTTGCCAGCCTTTCTTCCTAAGATGAAGACTGGATGCAGATAGGATCAGCTACCTTCTTGCTGTAAGAAGCAAAGGGAAGCCTGCATGTGAGAAACCTAGCCCCAGACACCACTCAAACCCCTGACAAACGCCAGCTGTGACACCCTCCAGCAACAATGCTGACTGTGACAGCAACAGGAAAAGAGATTGTTGGAAAGCCATTTTATTATTACTATTATTACATTTATGAAGGGCAAAGGGGCATGGTTGCACACCACAGTGAGTATGTGGAGGCCAGAGGAAACCCTTGTGAGTTGATGCTGGAATGTTCTTACACCTAGAAGGGTCCAAAGGTAGAATGCTGGATAAAGCAAGGGAGTTGGCTTTGTGGGTAAAGGTTCCAGGAAGCAGAGTTTGACCCCCAGGATCTTGAATCCCCCAAGTTGTCCTCTGAACACCTCCCTCTGGATAAACAAAGTGAGAACCAGAGAGATGGGGATTACTCCTCTTTCAGAGGACCTGAGATTAGTGCCCCCCCCCAAACACACATACAAATCTGCTGGCTCAAATCTTCCTGGAACACTAATATCCAGTGGTCCTATGTCCTGTTCTGGTTCCTTCAGATTCCTACCCTCAGACCTGTCCCCTAACCCCCACCCCACATAATTTAAAATATAATATTAAAAAAAAACAGGAAGGAAAAAAGACCTACTTTAAAAGGTAATGAATTATTAGCTGGGTGTGGTGACACATGTAATACCAGCACTCTGGTGCTGAGGCGAGCCAAAGTTCCAAGTCAGCCTGGGCTACATAATACATAACCAACCCTGGGGGAAAAAAGGGAGGGGGATGGAGAAGACTAACAAAGAATCAAAAAAAAATCACCCTAATAATTAAATAACACATGGTTCTGGAAAAATAAAAAAGACAAAGCTGTGAGGAAAGAGTAGCTTTTGCTGTCATTAAGCCAAACACTAATCAAAATGACCCATAGGTCATTTCCATAACATAGATTTAATCAAGTTCGTGTCAAAGGTTGGTCAGCAATGTTTGTAATCAGAAAAGTGTAGGAGGAAGTTTGAAGGGACAGCCATACCAATTTTAAAGCAATTTTTGTTGTTGTTTTCTTTTGCCTTTTTGTTTTTTGAGACAGGGTTGAACTCACAGAGATCTGCCTGCCTCTGCCTCCCAAGTGCTGGGATTAAAGTCAGTCGTGGGCCACCACTGTCTGGCAAAGCACTTTATTTTCAATGACTAAGGTTCTAACCCAGGCAAGAGTTCACACCAACCACTGAGCCCAATTTGTCCCTGTGCATGAACTCACAAAGACCTGGCTGCCTCTGCCTCCCTGAGTGCTGAATTAAAGGCGTGAGCCATCACTGTCCAGAAGCTTTTTCTTGCTAAGGTTTTTAAGTTAATTTGGTAGACGTAATTAATATCTGTGATAGTGCCTGCCTTTAATACTGGCAATGGGGAGCGGGAGACGTGAGGAGGGTCAGCCTGGTCTACTGAGTGAGTTCCAGGACATCCAGAGCTACACAGAGAAACCCTTGGGGGTGGAGGGAGGAGTAAGAAACAAGAAAGGTGAAAGGTGAGGATGGATATGTAGGTTCAGTTGCTACAGTGACTGCCTGGCTTCTTTGAGGCCCTGCATTTGATCCCATGCTTTGCCTAAACTGGAAGTGGTGGCTGTCTAGATGACTCAGCAGACAGAGGTACTGGATGAGGACAAGATGACTCAGCAGACAAAGGTACTGGATGAGAAAGGCTGAGGACTTGCCTCATTTGATCACCGAAGCTATTCCTGGTGGAACGAGAGAGCTGAGTCCATAAAATTGTCCTCTGACCTTCATAGGGGTCTGTGTGCACGTGTACACACACACACACACACACACACACACACACACACACACACACACACACGCTTTAATAATTAATTAATTTTTTTTAAGTTAAAAGGTATTCTTTGATTAACTCCAGACAGTATGACCAAGGCAAAGTCCCAAAGAAGCTGAAGAGATTTAGGAACACAATATAGATCTTTTTTGGTTTTGGTTTGCTCTGAGACAGGGTCTCACTGCATTGATCTGGCTGACCTTGAATTCACACACATTCACCTGATTCTGCACCACCACA